TTAACTCAAACCACAATAGGAAAAACAAATATTATCACTAATACAACCAATAGGTGATTACAATTGACACACTTGGAATGAAAAAAACAACAAACTCAACAACCCAACTCAAAATAGGTGAATCTCTGAGTTGTGGTACTGGTGATCTGCGAGGGTTGGCGGACAAGATGGTCGGCCAACAAAAATACAACCAGATAAGGGTTCCCGGGTTCTGGACAGTAAGCATGCAACAAATAACAACATGTAACAACTGTCCTTGATGATGACAACAAGTGGGACGGGGGTAGGGCGTGGGTTTTGGAGGCGACAACTTGTGGGAAGGAAAGGAGCAGTGGTTGGGGGGGTTGGGATAGGCAGGGATAGTGGAATGATTGCGGAGGGGACAGTCGTGGTGGCTAAAATAGTCGCAAGGTTGCTGGGAAAAGAGCTCTAGATGGCTGAAACAACTGGTATACAGTTGAGGACCGTTATTCGGATTGTTGGCAGCAAGTGGTATGACGATGACAATGACGGGGGTGCTGGGGACTGCTTCGCAGCAGGAGGATGGTTGTTCGGGGTGGCAACAACAAAACAGGTGTCTGGAAGTGGAAAAATTGCATTGAAAACATCAACGATGGCTGTGCGGGGTGGTTGTAGCAATGGAGGCCAGTCTTGAGTGACGTGGGGAGGATGCAGAATGGGATATACAATACAATCACCACTCTGGGAGAGATATACAGCCGGGGCACCACCCAAACCATTGGATATAGCTCTAAAAGAGAGAATGCAGATGCTGTCGATTGTTCTAAATAATCTAATGCAAAAATTAGCCTTAAAACATCAAGAAAGTAATATGATAACTAGGAGTTGCCAAGGGGATCAATGGCAACTCCTTGGTAATGTCCGCTTTGCTTCAACTTCATTCGGTCTTGGCATGCTAGTTCGCTTTGCTTCCCGTCGCGGGGAGCCCAACGTGAGCATGATACACCCCACATCAGTTTCTCTGAATTGGTGGAGCTTCAACTTCATTCGTCGAAGTTTTTGTCTAATGTTGAAGGTGGCGGAGCTGTTGTAACCTTTCAAGATTGCTCTTTGACTGCATCAATATGAGCACTTGGACCCCACTAATAGTTGCACTATTCCCCAAAACACCTCAGCAGCTTCCCCACTTGCGGGTAGCCATCGATATCAGTCCAACCCTTTGGAGATACATAGCTGGATTGAATTGAGATTTCTTGCCAAATATACTCAACAGGGTATTCCAAAGCTAGTTCTAGGTTGACTCATCCCTATGAGGCGTGAGGACAGACCGAACTCATAATGGTGGCGGCTATGGCATTAAGCCATCAAGCATGATAACTTGAAATTCTCTCTATACTGGATGCCTTGTGTCTGAAACCGGGTCTTTTGTCAAACTGTTTTCTACTGTCACTAGGATTGATCCTCTCAATATTTCTCTGCTGGCAAGAGCACCAATCTCAACCTTTTTAGAAGGTAGAAAGACCGTGCTCTTGTCATCTTTGCTGAATGAGTAGGTGTTCCTGTTCCCATTATATCAAGTTTTATGATCATATTGCCACAATCTCCCCAGTAAAAGGTGGCAGGCATGCACGAGCATCACATTGCACCAAATCAATTGCTGCAACGGTCACTCAATTGCAAACTCCACGAGACACCTCATGTTAATGTTGATCTTGTTCTTCTTTTTAAACCATGTTAGGGAATATAGCTGAAGATGTCTCTGAGTCATGATGCTCAACTTGTCTACGATCAGTGCTGACACCATATTCTTGCTGTTACCTCCATCAACAATGATTCTACATACCTTTTCCTTCACTGTGCAACGAGTGTAGAATGCAGTGACAAATCCACTGTTGCTCCTTCGACTCCTCAATCTGACGAACTCGTCGAACCACACACATCTTGCCTTCATCTTGTGGAAATTGGTACACATCACCCTTTTCTTTAGTTGCTTTCACAACTTGACTTGTCAGGCAATTGGAGGCGATTTGCCCAAATTCATGACATCTAAAATATTTTTCGGTGGGGACTATAGTGAGCGTGCTACTCTTCTAAGGTTTTTTCTCACTCTGAGTTGCTCTGTTCTTCTCCTTACCAGTCTTCTCAACTTCATAAGGTGTGCTCCTGCTAATGTATCTAACTACAGGCGACTGTCTGAATGGCGATGGTTGCATGTTATGCTTCTGCTGTCTCTCCACTTTCAATGTTGAAATCTGCACGTTCTTTAGCGTCTAATAAAGTTGCAACTGAACCACAACACTTATGGCAGGCTTCAGGCCTTCCTAATACCTAGCTATCTCCTTTGGCTATATCATATCATCTTTCAGTTTGAACTTCATAAAATTTATTTTGTACTATGACATGAGTCAATTTTACGTGGGTTTACCTGCATGTTGTCATTCTTTTATTTGCTATTTCATCTCTTTTATCATGATTTTATGCTTGTACAAGGTTCTTTGTGTCATTTTGTATGTTATAGGTGTCAAACATGTAAAACAGAGTTAAAACTCACGAAAAATTGTTGTTTGGCGTGACCATGCCTGATATGGGCTTGACCACACCAGTTTCGTGCGTGACCACGCCGATTTTAGGTTTGATCGCACCGCCGGACCTCCAGATCTCTTTTTAGAAGGTTTTTTTATGCCGATTTTTGTTGGATCTTTAAAAGGGAAGCTAGGGCATGAATGAAAGCATTCTTTGGTGGAGAAGAGAGCTGGAGACTACTAGAGAATAA